ATACATTTTAACAATAGGAGACGTTCTTTAAATATTATGTGCAACAATCTAGTGATTAAGGAAGTTGACCATGTTATTTACTTAGGAAGAACCATTTGTACTAACAACTCTTCTATCAATCATGTTAGACACACGCTTGCTAAGGCGAATAAAACAAATATGTTTTTAAATATGCTTAGTGGTTGCCGCTTCGGTATCCACCCCAGCGTAGCTCTTAAGTTTTTTAAAGCCTTCGTTAGATCCAAATACGAATATGCATGCTCTACCTTTGCTAATATCTCGAAGACTGTTACTTCTAGTATCCAAATACATGCTAATTTCTACCTAAGGAAATCCCTTGGACTATTAAAATCCACTCCTGTAAATATTATTTACCACCTAGCAGCAGAACTCCCCCTGCCTGTAGAATGAAATTTGCTACAGCTAAGGAATTAGCTAAAATTTTCACTCTTAATCTCCCAGCTGCTTTACTACTTAAAAACAACTTCGCCGCCAAAAACACTACTTATATCAAAACATACTTAGAATTTAAAGACATTTTTGATTCTTTAACCTATGTAAATTGCTCATTTTCTAAGCCTCGGTTTTTAACATTTGATTCAAATTTTTTTAAGGGTTCTTGCCATAACAAAAATCTAGCAGCCCTGACGTGGTGGACATTCTTTTTAGAGAAAAACATAGTTTATTAACTAGCCAAAATTTCGAAATAATTTACACGGATGGCTCTATTAGAGATAATTTCACTGGGTGTTCCTTTTATCATGTCAATAGTAACACAACTAAAAGCTTTTATATGAATAAGAAGTTCTCTTCACTTACTGCAGAGCTTACAGCCTTAGAGAAAGCCATTGAATTTGCAATTGACCAACATATTACAAGGATAGCTATCCTAACGGATAGTTTGGGTGCTATTCAAGCCCTTCAAAAGCGGTATTCTACTAATCGCATTGTGGCTGAAATACTCAGAAAAATTGACAACAATATATTGGTTATTCAACTACATCATATTCCGAGCCATTTGAATATTAAAGGAAATGAAGTTGCTGACTCTGCTGCAAAAAACGCCAATACCTTGGGATCTTATCTAAATATCAGATACACGATCAATGATGCTATCACTCACATCTTCAACAGAATTAAAACTGATTGGGAGCGCGACTATAACTCTTTTTGCATAGAAAGGAATAAAGGATACTGTCTTCTATATCCATATACCTTACCCAAACCATGGTTCCAATCGGAAAACTGCAATCTTAATAGATTGCAGATCAAACAAATTAATAGAATCCTCAGCGGTCATTCTTTTGATAAATATACCCTATACAAACTAAAAGTCCATGACAGTCCCAATTGCGATTGCAATTTCAATACTATAGAGGATATTTCACACATAATTTTAAATTGTTCCAAATACGATAATATTCGTAGGAACTTCCCGCTCCTTCTAAAATACGATAACATTTATCGATTTTTTTCTCAAGAATCAGTTGAAAATTACAGCTCAATAACTAATTTCATTAAACTGGCTAATATAGATTTATAAGGCGCCTTTTAACTTCTTTATGTCACTGGAGATAATTAATACTATTAACTATGGATAACTATTAACAACCAGCATGCGCATGTATTAACACGGTCACTTTAAATAGTTGACTATCGCATCTATCTTCATTATCGTTTATTTCCCATCCACATCATCAAGCCTCAAGTCATATTAATATAAATAATTTGTTCACATTGTCATAACAAGTATCTTGGAATTTTTTAATTTCACACATAGGCGTTGGCGTTTACCCGTCTTCACGGGACGGCCAAGGAATTCTTCCCCCTCTACCGAGCTGGGAAGTAACTTAATCAACAAAAAAAAAAAAAAAAAAAAGAAAACTCTTTGATATGCAAAGGGTGTACGGTGTAGCCCCCCTTCTTTCTCTGAAAAATGTTTCCTCTACGTGCTCTGCTTGGGATCCGCATTGTTACAAACACAAAAATTTCGAAATCGCAGAAATGCCAACTACAAATAATTGCCAAAAATCCACCGGGGCAGAGTCAACTTTCATAAAACGCCAAAGCCCATCCATTCGATTTGCACAATTTGGGGGCTTTTAACGGCTGTTTGTCGGTCGGTTAGTTTCACATTTTGGTGGCCATCAGTTTTTTAGCATTTTGGCGTTTGTTTGAATTGATAATAGCCTGGAAGTGCCTTTCAGCCTGACAGCCATAATCGCTCAACGCCAACTTATCCCGGGTGGTTGGCGGACCCCACTTTGGGGGGTGGCCTGGTCGCTGCAACATTGGGGATGGTACCCAGAACCAAGCCTACATACGTCTGCGGCAGGTCGATGGGACACACCTACCCGGCAGCGGAAACGGAACAAAGCCTCAGACAGTCGGACCTCAGACCTCCGACCTCAGACCACGCCAGTTTTTTGATGGAGAAATTATAGCGAGTCACGCGAGTGCGAAACTTTTCTAACCCTTTTCTTGCATTTCGCCGGCTGTGCCCCGATTCACAGGAAAACCAGAATTAGCTAAAAAATTGCGCCAAAAGCTTGAAATGATTGTCTTTAATTGAATTCGCTGCCAGGCTGAATAACTTTTAATTGAATTCCGGCTAAAGACTAGCCGAATTGGGGGTGAGCTGATGACCCACTTGGGATGACTCGAAGGATCCATTACACAGAGGGAAAATTATGAAGAAAATCAACAAGTTGGAGAGTTTGAAAAGTAAAATAGGGAAATAGGAAATAGATCCTATTTTTGCAGTGTACTTACGCGACATCTACGTCGCGCCAGTCGGCGTTTAATCCACTTGAGCGCCTCCTGGCGGCCGCGGGCGAAGGACATGCTCCAGCCGCGACACAACTGGCAGATACGCAGGGCGAGGACGATGAGACGCTGCACCCAGACTCCCACTCCGCCCGCGATCCGCTGCCGGCTGGGCAGCTTGAACATGAAGCACTCTCTGCACTCGACCGGCCCACGTCTAAGGGCAATCAAATATCATAACTCCCGGGGCGTGAACTTGGCCGGAATCGGGGATCGTCAGGTATTATCCTGGGGGTTAATAGAATTTCACTTTTGTTTCGGATTCGTTTTTTTTTTGGGGGCGGTAGTACGCGGACTCGTTGTTACTTCAGTTGCGTTTGTTGTTTGACTGAGAATACGGCCGCTTTTGCCGCTCGACGTAGCTGCTGCCTTGAGTGAAAGAGAGCCGCGACACTTGAGCGGAGTGCGAGAGTGAGGGAACGCCAGTGGGTGGTGGGAGGTGGCTGTTACCAGGTGGGGACGCGGCGGTGCAGTTTCGATTGTCACCGGCGCGATACACTCACTTTTTGTTGCTTCTATTGCTTTTTTTTGTTTATACAAAATGCGTGTGGCTGGCTGGGTAAGAAAACGCCCTGCTCCTACATACATAAATAATGCAATAAGTTGGGGCGAAGGGGGGCGAAACACTTACAAAAACAAAAGCTGAAAATTGAAAAAAAAAACGAAGCGTTTTTGCAGTCCAAGCACATCGCGGATGGTTCGCTTCTCCTACCCTCCCGAGGGGCCCCATAAACGAGTACCTACACTGAGCTTTGCACTCGATTTGATTGCCTACAACAACAAAAACGTCAACAAAAACGACAACAAAAAAGCACCAACAACACGGCCGGGGAAGCCCAACTAACGGTGAAGGCGAAGGTGTTGCTGTTGTAATAGGAAATGCACGGCCTAGGCACAGTGGTATGAGAGGGATAGAAAAGGTGATCTTCTTCTATATAATCAGTGTTGCAAAGTGAACAAAAAAAAGGAGCTTTAAGAGAAGGATCACTTTAGACTTTATAACACTTGTCCTAGTAAGTTGGGGCCAATATCCCTTAACCCTTGAGCCACTGTTCTTGGATGTGTGGGCGTTTCTAGGCAATTCCTCCCCAGCCCCCCCCAAGCCCGAAGCTATAGTGCAAGTGCCGCTAGGCGACGAAGGCGAACAAGTGTTTTTGGTTACTGTGTTACAAAATGCGAAGACGCCCAAAGACTAAAGCCCATGGAACGTCCATCGAAAGCTTTTCAGATTAATGTTGCTGGCTCGTAGCTTTGTTGTTATTTACTTGCCCACGTTACTAGTGCACCTAGTAGTTGTTAGTACGGTTATTTATTTATTTATGCTAATGTTGCTGTCGACGGCAAAGCTATAGACGCCGGCAGAAGCAGAGATGGTGGCAGAGGCAGAGGATCTGAGGCTGACGTTGCATTTGCATTGTTTAGAATGAGAACAACGAGAAAACGAGCCCAACAACAAAAAGGGGGCAACACCAGCAACACCAACAGCAACAACAACACCAACCACAGTAGCAACAGAAACACGACAAGTGGCACTCACGCGACAAAAGCCCATAAATAAAGTGTTCTCATGGTTATCTTGTTCCCTGAGCGATATTTTCGAGTATCTCATATCCACTGAAAGAAATAAATAAAACATTATTCAAATATAACTAATTAGTTATCATTTCCCTTTTATTATTTCTCTCAGTGTGTCTGTATTTTTTGGATGCGGGCACATAGAAAGTTCCAAGTTCCCATCATCGGAGAAATTGATGGAGAATTCTCAGCACGTTCGGCTGTTTCTCCCTTTGATGGACAGCTGGGCGTCTCAGATGTTGCTTTTCTTATGAGTAGCACCGGCACCTGTGTCTGGAGGCTTCCCCGGAAGCCGATTCGAAGACATCACCGCTGGGTACGACTCATCACCGCTGGGTAAGAGAGTGGAGGATCCCCCCTCACCGCATAACGAATTTCAAAGCTAAATCTGATTCTCCATTGGGTGTCCAAATCCAATATGGCCTTGCAATGAAAATAGTTTTTGGAATTCTTTGAAATAAGAGCTAAGCAATACCTAAGCATAGTAGGCATTGCCTTAACATTCATTTTGATCCTTCAAACCTCCTACAGATTATTCCCAAATACTTACTAGTTTGCGTTGAATATCCGAGCATTGTTTCTTGCCAAAGTCCAAGAATTTCAAACTTCAAATATATTTCTTATTTACAAACTCCGTGCGAACTATGAATCCCCCAGAGGTGGACAAGGAGGTGGCGGACAAGGTCCGCTTTCACTTAAGCAAGGAGGAGCTGGAGCGTCAGATGCGCAACATCCACGATCGCGGGGATCAGGGAGATAGCAAGAGTCGGGCCTCAGGCAGCGGACACACAGGACGCAGTCACAGCTTGTCCTCATTGCCGGAGATGCCGCGCCAGGACTCGTGGGTATTCGAAAGTGTGGGTGGCTTTTATGTGCCAACCGAGGATCTATCCAAGATGTCGCTGCAGAAGCAGGAGCAACTGCTCATTAAGGATCTGATCTATGCCTTTTCCGGAGTGCCATCGACCCACATTAAGCCCGACATCAAGGTGGATCAGATAGCCGAGATCAGTGCCATGGACGTGTCGAAGGTGCGTTTCCGGCTGGACGATGCCTTCAGTGGCGCCTTACGCGGCATGGTCAATGAGCTGCTGCCGCTGATTGGCTACTACATCAGTGTCCAGAGCTACATCGAGGAGACCAACATGACACCGAGCTGTGGCAGGACCCGTCTGGCCTTAGCCTCCGCTTTTATGGAGTCGATGCAGCTGTACTACGACCTGCTGGCCAAACTGGAGACGGACCTGCAGGATAAGAAGTTGAACCTTAAGGAACTGGTGCGGCAGGCGCGTCCTTGGCTGGCCACCCTGAAGCTATATTCTGGAATGGCTGAAGTTGCTCGCGGAGAAGTTAACAGCGCTCAGCTTCTATCGCTTCTGGATGACAGCTTCGGGAGCCAGAAATTCACCGACCCCGAACTGAAGGTAAGGGTATCCAAGACCCTGGGCGACGTTACACGGTCTTATATGAAAATTGTGCAATTGTGGACTCAGAAGGGCATCATCTACGATACCCAGAACGAGTTCTTCGTGCACGATAACGAAAGGCCGAACTCTATGAGCAGCACTTTGCTGACCCCAGAGCAGTGTTGCTTCGATTACTGGCACCACCGATACCAGGTACTACCCGACAGGTTGCCAGACTTCCTGCTAAACCAAGGAGAACACATATTTCTGGCCGGGAAGTACCTGAATATCTTGCGGCAGTGTAATGTTACCATGAAACTAATGCAGCAGCCACTGCTGTATGTTCCCGGGGAAAGCAAACACATGGAGATTATTAAGGACAGCTACGAGCTGCCGGCAAAGAAACTGCTTGAGATCCTTATGAAGGAGCACCAATTGGCGTCGCATCTGAAAAACTTATGGGCGTATTTCCTAATGCAACGGGAGGGATTCGCGGATGCTTTGCTGAACCGTTGCCACAAGCAGCTGCAGAGGAATGTGGATAGACTGATTCCCGAAAAAATGCAATCTTTGCTGTCCGAGGTTCTGCAACAAAGCACTGATCCATTCAAGGACATGCTGCGCTGTCACCTTAAGGCCTGCGACGCGGCCACTCAATTATCAGAGCTGCACGAGTCGAAGGATACTCAAGGGGAGGTCATCGAAAATCTGAACCTATGTGGGTATGAATCTCTGGCTCTGCGCTATGAAGCCAAGTGGCCTCTGAGCTTTGTCCTCCACTCCGAGCCACTGGAAGAGCTGCAGGTGATACAGCGTGTCCTGCTCCTTCTGCGCTACGTCCGCCGCCAGCTGTCCGCATTGTGGAAGGCTCCTGTCGAGGGAGTGGGTTTGATGAAAACCGCCCAGTCTGAATACCTGCGGGAGCGTATGCATAAGTGCATGCTTAACTTGGAGAATCACATCGTCTTGTACATTTCCGAGCCCCGTTGGAAGTCCTTCATGGAGGTGGTGGACAAAGCCCAAACTATTGACGAGCTCACGAAGAAGTTCCGCCTCACCTTGAACGAGATCTTAAGGCTGGGACTTCTCTCATCAACCACAACTTATGTTAGCTCCCTGTTCACTTTGGGGCAAGTATGCCTCAATTACTGTGGCTTTGTTGAGTCCATTCAGGGTGGCAGCGATCCCGTGAAATTCCAGAAGGGAGTCCGGGAGTATGAGGACGAGTTTGGAAGCTTTGTGGCTAGCATTCTGGAGCTCGTGGGAGAACTGGCTAAAAGCAGCGCATCTGGCGGCAAGGTGGCGGAGCGGGACTCCTACAAGGAGCTACTTAAGCGTCTCGATGAGTTCGGCAAGGCGCCGAAATCTGCATCTTAAATCATCTTGACTAGATATGTTATTTAATTTTTTTTTTTAACATTTTGTCTAGCCAAATTATTTGTAACTTTTAGGTCTCTGATACACAAACGAAAAATAATTTTAGATAATCTAGACACTAGTTATGGCAAAAGGTTGATTTTTAATTGCCAAATAAATTTTAAATGAAAAACTGAAAAAGTAAAGGGATCAACGGGATCAAAGGAAACTGAAAAAGTTTCAAGGGATCCCTTGAAAATGGGGTTTACCCCTATGGGTCCACAGGGATGGCTATATCTTCCCCAATTCTCATCCGATTCTCAAGCGGAGTACCTCAAACGATTTCTAGATCAATTCTGCACCATTGTGCATCCAAATCCTGAGACAAAATATTTTTTAGATTTTTTGTCCATTTTCGTGATGGAATCCCTTCAAAATGGGGTTTTCCCCTATAGGGTCCACAGTAATGGCTATATCTTTCCCAATTCTCATCCGATTCTCAAGCGGAGTACCTTAAACGATTTCTAGACCGATTCTCCACCATTCTGCATCAAAATCCTGAGACAAAATGTTTTTTAGATTTTTTGTACATTTTTGTGATGGGATCCCTTGAAAATGGGGTTTTCACCTATAGGGTCCACAGTGATGGCTATATCTTTCCCACTTCTCATCCGATTCTCAAGCGGAGTACCTCAAACGATTTCTAGATCAATTCTGCACCATTGTGCATCCAAATCCTGAGACAAAATATTTTTTAGATTTTTTGTCCATTTTCGTGATGGAATCCCTTCAAAATGGGGTTTTCACCTATAGGGTCCACAGTGATGGCTATATCTTTCCCACTTCTCATCCGATTCTCAAGCGGAGTACCTCAAACGATTTCTAGATCAATTCTGCACCATTGTGCATCCAAATCCTGAGACAAAATATTTTTTAGATTTTTTGTCCATTTTCGTGATGGAATCCCTTCAAAATGGGGTTTTCCCCTATAGGGTCCACAGTAATGGCTATATCTTTCCCAATTCTCATCCGATTCTCAAGCGGAGTACCTTAAACGATTTCTAGACCGATTCTCCACCATTCTGCATCAAAATCCTGAGACAAAATGTTTTTTAGATTTTTTTTCCATTTTCGTGATGGAATCCCTTGATCCCTTGACCTATAGGGGTTTTCCCCTATAGGGTCCACAGTAATGGCTATATCTTTCCCAATTCTCATCCGATTCTCAAGCGGAGTATCTTAAACGATTTCTAGATCGATTCTGCACCATTCTGCATCAAAATCCTGAAACAAAATATTTTTTAGATTTTTTGTCCATTTTTGTGATGGGATCCCTTGAAAATGGGGTTTTCCCCTATAGGGTCCACAGTAATGGCTATATCTTTCCCAATTCTCATCCGATTCTCAAGCGGAGTACCTTAAACGATTTCTAGACCGATTCTCCACCATTCTGCATCAAAATCTTGAGACAAAATGTTTTTTTAGATTTTTTGTCCATTTTCGTGATGGAATCCCTTGAAAATGGGGTTTTCCCCTATAGGGTCCACAGTAATGGCTATATCTTTCCCAATTCTCATCCGATTCTCAAGCGGAGTATCTTAAACGATTTCTAGATCGATTCTGCACCATTCTGCATCAAAATCCTGAAACAAAATATTTTTTAGATTTTTTGTCCATTTTTGTGATGGGATCCCTTGAAAATGGGGTTTTCCCCTATAGGGTCCACAGTAATGGCTATATCTTTCCCAATTCTCATCCGATTCTCAAGCGGAGTACCTTAAACGATTTCTAGATCGATTCTGCACCATTCTGCATCAAAATCCTGAAACAAAATATTTTTTTGATTTTTTGTCCATTTTTGTGATGGGATCCCTTGAAAATGGGGTTTTCCCCTATAGGGTCCACAGTAATGGCTATATCTTTCCCAATTCTCATCCGATTCTCAAGCGGAGTACCTTAAACGATTTCTAGACCGATTCTCCACCATTCTGCATCAAAATCCTGAGACAAAATGTTTTTTAGATTTTTTGTCCATTTTCGTGATGGAATCCCTTGAAAATGGGGTTTTCCCCTATAGGGTCCACAGTAATGGCTATATCTTTCCCAATTCTCATCCGATTCTCAAGCGGAGTACCTAAAACGATTTCTAGACCGATTCTCCACCATTCTGCATCAAAATACTGAGACAAAATATTTTTTAGATTTTTTGTCCATTTTCGTGATGGGATCCCTTGAAAATGGGGTTTTCCCCTATAGGGTCCACAGTAATGGCTATATCTTTCCCAATTCTCATCCGATTCTCAAGCGGAGTATCTTAAACGATTTCTAGATCGATTCTGCACCATTCTGCATCAAAATCCTGAGACAAAATATTTTTTAGATTTTTTGTCCATTTTTGTGATGGGATCCCTTGAAAATGGTGTTTTCCCCTATGGGTCTACAGGGATGGCTATATCTTCCCCAATTCTCATCCGATTCTCAAGCGGGGTATCTTAAACGATTTCTTTCTGGGTTGATTCTCCACCATTCTACATTTAGATTTTTTGCCCATTTTCGTTATGCGATCACTAAAAAAAAGAGGGGTTTCCCTTATAGGATCCTGTTTTTTTTTTGTGAGCTTTGGGAGCCAAGATAGCTATTTATACTGCTAGTTAACGGACCAAAAGTATGAATATCTGTTAAGAAAGGAAACTTTATTAGCTCAAGGATTTCAAACAATGGAAATAATTTTATTTTATGTTTCCTCAACTCATAACCCCATCTCGTTGGCTGCAACAGGTCTGGGTCTGGACTCCTCCGAACTCTGCGAGTACCCCCATCAAGTTTGGTTTAAGTATGGCATATAGGTTCGACACCTGTAACTTCAGACCCCTTTTCTTGCGGATCAACCATACTGCTGGCCAACTTACAATGGGCGTGAACAATCGATGTGTGTGCGAGTGCTTAGCTTACATTTTCGGGGGGACTTTGAGGGGCAAAGGCGCTTATGCCGAGTCACGGGGGCTAGTGCATCGAATCTGGCAATTTGCATAAGATCGTAAATTATTTTAAATGGCGGTAAACAGATTTTAATGCATCTCGCTGGCCGTTTGGCTGCCTGGCCGCTTGGCGTCTTGGCCAGTCGGCTGCCAATTTAAATTCAAAGGCCAATTGTTATGTAAATGCACTTGCCTCACTTGCAGACGCAGACGCACGCAAGCGCACAAAATTTGTATTAATAAATAAAAGGAAACTCTCCGGCTCCAGAAATCACTTAATACTTATCGCTTTAAGGACAACAGGTGGTCGAGGCTGAGGCTGACGGTGATGACGCAACAAAACGGAGCTCCTACTCCAACTTCGACTCCAACAAAAAAGCGCCCAGAGCGGGCCAATAATAATGCACTCGAAATTATGGTAAAGTTCAGATACATTGCTTCCGAAATGTATATCATTATCTGCTTGCGAAAATGATGGACTGCCGCTGTCGGTTTGCATTTAGCCGAATGCTTTTGGCCCGGCTGAATGGAGTTCACTCCGAGTTGGCTGCAGTTTTGAGTGGACTGATGTGGAGGTATTGTGTAAAGTGACCGGCCAATACGAGTCCCGGCAACGGTCGTGGGAATTCCGCAAGCTGCGCTTTTGAAGATCGTGGAATGGGTGGTACTGCAAAAGAGGGCAGGTTTATTAAACCCGTGGCACGCCTCATCCGCACGGGATGACTTCATTTAGAAATGACTAGAAATGTCATAAACTTGAACCCGCCAGCTGGCCGCTAAGCGGAAGTACGGCTTCAAGGTTCACCGGGCCCCTAATTGAGAGCCAAAATTTTTTTTGGCAAGCGACCAGAGGCAGTCAACCGTTTAGCCAGGTGGGTGGGTCAACCGATTGAGGGTCGGTGGCTCCTCACTTTGAATGGCCAAGTCTGAATAACTGTTTAGATGGGAGAAATGTCAGTTTAAGTCAATAGGTTCATGGTTAAATATCAAGAGATAGTCAAACACTAAGATTAGTTACTGAAAGAAACATTTATTAACGATTTGGAAGGACAAATTAGAAGGATTTAGAACTAATCATCGTCTTCATGGATATCTATCGCCACAACAAGAGTCGTGTCAGATCTAGTCTTGGTTGCGACCGTCACCCGAGGATCCAAACCATCCTCATCGTTGAGTCCTTGGAGGAACTCATAGCCAAACTGGCACTCGTTTAGCTCACCATTCTTGACCTTCTCCTGATACCAGAGCAGGCGATCCGTGTTCCCGCCGAGCGACTGATCGAGCAACTGGCGGCGCTGTCGCCCCCGCTCCAGAAACTCGATGTAGTCAATCGACTTGAACTCGTTAAACATGCCCAGGATCTCCCAGGAGTCGGCAGCCACCTGCTCGTAGGTGTCCGCTAGCTCTACTTCCCGCTTCACCCGCTCCTGTATCATCTCGTTGCGTTGGAAGTCCGGTATTTCGGCGGGCAGGATGCGAGCTCTAATGGCGGCTATGTCTTGTTCCACCCGCGACAGCACATCCAAGTGAGACTTCTTTTTGGCTGCCTCATAGGCCTGCTTCTCCTTCTCCAGTGCCGTCTCGCGAGCCAGCTTCTCGGGATCCATCTGCTTGCGAGACATTAGAATGGTCATCATTCGATTCAGATTCAACTCGTCCCACTTGACAGCCATTCTTTCGTTGTAGTTCAGTCCTGCGTACGCCTTTTTGGTTCCCCTAAGGAATAGAGTAAATAAAAGCCTTCCTTCAAAGTGAAGGATTATGTCCAAGTACTTGCCCTTTCTTTTCCTCGCCACCCTCTTCGTCGGCCTTTCGCTTCCGCGAGGCGAACTGCTCCTCTTTCTCCAGACGCTCCATTTCCTTGCGAGTCTCCGCCTCCGCCTCACGCTTCGCTTCGATGATGTCTTTGTTGAGTTCGTAGTACTTCTGCTCCCATGCCTGGATGCCCACCTTGCGGCGCTCCTCCTTGAGGACATAGTTCATCAGCTGCTGCAGTTCGTTGGGGAGCGGCACATCGAAGGTGTGTGGCAGCTTCACCATGCGGATGCTACTGTTGTAATCCCCGATCCCCAGGATCTTGTAGGGCAGCGAGGGTCGGTGCTCCGAAATGCTGGTGATGATTCCTCCGCCGAGGATCTCGCTCAAGCAGGCGTCGTCATCGCGAGATAGAATATCCCAAGCTTCCAGGATACCATCCATCCTGGTTAAATACAAAACTGCTGGGCGGGTTTCGCTCCAGGCCACAGCGGTGAGATCACAGCCCCGCTGCCTCCAGAAAATGGGTGAATACGGATAGTCCTCCTTCCAGATGGCCAGGATAGTTCGTCCTATGGATGCGAAGAGCTCCGGATAGAAGGGATTCTTGCGCATCATCACCACCGGACCATCGTGAACCATGGCGAAGGGGATTGAAGTGTTGATGGTCTCCGTGGGGTCGCCCTCGGTGTAGATGCCCTGCCACTCGATCCGGCTGACGTGCCCGTAGAAGGTGGACACTATCATGCTCTGCCTCAGGGACGGTGGATCCTTGGCGATCAGCTTGATGGGATAGTTGGAGGGGTTGGAGTGGATTAGCTTCATATTCGGGGTGAGGCACGAAAAACACGAGGTGTCGGCTATGATCCCAGTTAGTGGCTCTGCAAAGCTAATGTTGTAGGTCGGTTTGATGCTCAGCGACTTGAAGGCGGACTCGTGGGAGGACAACTCCTTGGGGAGCATGCGATTTCGCATCTTCTCCTTCGCTGCCTTAGCCGCGCCGCCCTCCAAATCCCAGAAACTCACTGTCCCGTCGAAAGAGCACGTCACAAAGAACTTGTGGGTGACCCGCATATCCGGATCATTGTAAACTTTGCCGAAGTGGTTGAGGTATATAGAACGACCCAGCCAGTAGAAGCCGGTGATTTGACCCTTGGGCGATAAGTCCAGAGGCGAAATGGTGGCCGGGGTAATCAGGTTGTCCTCAAGGTCGATGGTCCAGTTCAGGAACTCGCCAAGCATAGTCCGATACTTGGACTGGGCTGCCGTCAAGTACTCCTCCTCTTCCAGCTTCTCGCAGCGCCCCTGGAGATCCCAGATCACAATCTGACCATTTCGGCAACCGCCAATCAGTACATCGCCATTCGAGGGGCAAAAGGTCAGCTGTGTTGTCTCGATGGGGGCCTCAAACTCCAGTTTGTAGTCGAGATTGTCGGAAAAACTCCACAGCAGTACTGGATTGGGCTCCAAAACGGCCCGCTGCACATAATCCACCCTTTCGGAGGCCTCATTCACGGTGGCCGGAGTGCTAAAGGCATAGGAAACCGCAATCAGCCCGGAGAGCTTCGGATACCAGTCCTGGCCGGCCACAAAGCGTTTGTTGCTCTTGGAGATATTGGCGAAACATAGAAACTCCTGGAGGTAGGGATTTGTGTACTGAACCACCTGCCGGTTTGAAATCATGGTGTAGTCATCCCTAGAAAGTGCGGAAAGTGGTTAGAGCCCTGGAAAGGCGTAGAGGAAAATCTATCTATGTACCTATAACAATCGATCTGATTGAAATCCAGAGTATTGAGCAGCAGTTGAATTTGGGCGGACATTTCTGGAGGTGGCTTTTCAACGGGCACATAGTTCTTTTGGCTTTTCTTCTTTTCCTCCTCCTCGTCCACTACGGACTCGTCCAGCTCCAGATCTATAATGAGATAAATACTAGAATGTTTTAAAGCCCAAAAGCCCAAAAAGCCACAAACCCACCATCATCATCAATCTCGTAGAGGTATTGGGACCAGGCGTTGGAAGGGAATGTGGGATTGGTTTGCTGTTCCCGATCCAACACGGCTGGAGCCGACTGGATGGCGACGTTGATCCTTTTCTTGGTCACATTATCCCACTTGACGTTCTCGTTGGGCAGGAGCTCGATAACGCCATCCCTCACGTCCCGGGTCATTCGGTGTGAGAAGGCTACGTGGCGCGGTTCCTGGATGGGGTACACGCTCTGGATCTCCACGTCTATGGGCTCGTCTCTGAAGTGTTCCACCAAGATGGTCATCTCGTCCTCGGTGCCCTGACTCACCCACCGACGGGGCTTCTTGCGCAGGCGTCGCTGCATCCTCCACCGATCAAAGTGCTCCATGTTCTGGATGATTCCCATAGCTAGCTTGGACTCCTTTATGCTCGAGTAGCAGATGAACGGATCGCCCTCTGGGGGATCATCTTCTGCCTCAGTCAGGATGGGGCAGAAACCGAGGAGAACGTAGTGATCGGGATTGAAGTTCTTGAACTTTTTGACCAACTCCGTCGCGTTCTCAAGCTCGTCGAAAAGGACATCGCGCAGATCTTTGAACTGGACCTGCTTCCAGGGGAACTCCTGAGTGACATTGATGCCCACCTCGATCTTCAGGACTTTCTGAGCCCTCTCTCTAGATGGATGAGGGGATTACTTGATGAAGAATGAGCTCTGAATGGCTTAAGTATGTAACTTACGAAACCATGATTTTCTGGCAGCTGGGCAAGTTCATGAGGGTTCGCCAGGACTCCTGAATATTGTAGAGGTTTCGCAGGTCACCGACTTCTTCATCGGAGTCGGGCTCCTTGAACTTCTTCAGGTAGGTCTTGTGCTTCTTGCTTGCGATTGGGGCTGAGGAGGCTGCAGCCTCCGATGGTTCACCCTCGGGTGGAGTTCCGATATCACTGTCCAACCGGACCATCGAGGGCATGTTTTCTACCGTCGACATGTTGGATTTTGGTTTCTATTCCGGTACCAGGTTAACGTTGTCTATTTCTGCCGGGGTTTCGCTTGACGGTTCCGTCCGATTCGTTTGTTTATTTGTTTATTTCCCACTGACAGCTACGGAGCACAAAACCCTGTCATGGCAATCCGGGGCATGCGCACCGAATCAGTCGAGCTTGTCGGTCGAGTTTCTCTCGAAGATCGTCCTGGCAACGCGGACGCACATAAACAGAATCAAGTCGAGGCATTTTCACTCATTTACATGGCCTGGCAATTTTTCCTCAACAATTTTTGAGTGGGTGATTGCCTTGTTGTCTTGTTTTTTTGGCCAAAGATGCTGGAATTGAAACTGAAACCGAAACCGAAGCTGGAGCTGGGGCTGCAGTCTATGTCTGTATGTTGTTGGTGCATTTCACATCATTATCTTTGACCAAATACGGAACTATGCGCAAAAAAACGCAATTGTGTGTCACTCACGGGGACGTCAAGACCGCAGCCACTGGTGCTGGGTGCTGCCACTGCCACACAAAAATATGTGTTTCTTGCGACGGCGATCTGTGGCGGTTGTTGTCCGAGTCCCAGTGACCCTCGCGCCCTCCGCCCCAAGGCCAACAGGCGCTGGCCAACCCGACGACGAGATCGGTTCAACAAACGCCACAAAGGAAAGTCTCCCAGTTGACGCACTACGCAATCGAAATCGAAAGTTCTCTGATGGACAGCTGCAACAGAGTCGAGTCAATGCACCACCAATGCACCGCCGTGTGGCGGTTCAGTGGTTCGCCGTTGAATGCCACATGAGTGGCACACATTTAATGGATGCACGTCGCTCACTTTCATTCTGGGCGTCTTTTTATTTATTTTGTTTCTTGCTTGTTTACTTTTTTTTTTAGTTTTTTGCCCAACTTTCGATTTTAAATGCAATTTATGCACCTGTCACTCATCCCGCTGATAACTGGCAACTCCGATTAGCCACACTCCGGCAATTGTGCGAGTACCTACTGCTACCCTGTGGCAAGTAGCAAGTAGCAAGCAAGTTGCAAGCTGCAGCCGCGCCACAAAAGCCAATAAATCACTGGACAAATTGTTGACAAAACATTTCGTAATTTAAATAAAAGAAAAAAGTGGCGACAAGCTGCCGATAGTCGCCGAGCGATAGTTGGTGGCATGCCACAAATACTGCCCAGGCCGGGCAACTTGAGGAAGTGGATCCGTCTCCCACTTACCACAGTGCCCCTCACAACAATGACAATAGTGCCACAATGGAGGTAGCGCTGGGGCAGGCCGATAATTTTCTGATTGGCAACTTTGCATAAATTTTAAAGACATGCATGGGGAGAAGTTTGGGGTGACTGGGGAAAAATCATTCAAAGCAGACCCAGCTACCTCCCTGACCTTTTCAACACCTTTCGGTTGAACAATCAAAGGTTCAAAGCCACAAATCGAAGATAAAATACACTAGAGATACGAAAGTTATAGAGAAAGAATCATGGAAAGTATTTAAATTTATGGATATCTTAGAGATATTGTAGCAAAGCTAAAGCTAAAACTAAAACTTAAGCTATAACCATTAAAATGTATACATTTCAGGACACATTCCAGGTGCTTAGCTGGTAGCCGGAGTGTTAAAAGTCAGCGCCTCATAATCACCTTAGAGGGTATTACAGACGCCTGGGCCTTGCCGCAATCATAATCGCCCGAAAGTCGTAGGCAATGGCCAGCACCACCGTGCAACATCGGCCTTAGCTGCCACAGACAGTCAGCAGACTAGAGTCGTACAACTGGCGACAAAATTTTGCATGTTCGTGGCGCTGTCACCGAATCTCCTTGGCTGGCTTTGGCGGATTGGGGAATGTATGCAAAAAGGTGCTAAAAAGATCAGAGGCAGCGATTTATCTTCATTTGCATTTGACGTCGCTGGCTGTGTGTCAAAAAGGTGTTAAGTGCCAGGCAGCAAAGGCGGCAGCCAACAGGCGGCAGGAGGCAGGAGACTGCCAAGCTAAAAAAGCCAAAAAAAAACCAAACCAACTTTCGGCACCGCTTTTGATGACAGCGACAACAACAGTAGCCGATGCGCATAATTTTCTATATTTTATAACTTTGCGGTTGCCGAAAAAATTCCGTGTCGCGGCCAGAGGGTTGGAGGTGTTTGGAAAACTCTGTTCACATAGTGGCACATCAATCCGTTGAACCGAGCCGCGACCGCCCAATAAGGCGAAAACCCCCCAGCACGAACCGTTATTATGGCCAGGCAAATTTGCCAAAAAGCCACCGCCAACAATGGCCAATTCTACTAGTCGAGGGGCCAACACCACAACACAGCAGACTCAGTGGCCAAAATAAATCCAAAAACCAAAACCAACTGAACTGAACTGAACTGAGCTAAAGCGTTAGATAGTCGCACCGATAAAAGGGACATGAAATTCAAATTTGAGCCGCAAATTTGCCTACCGACTTATCAGTCGAGTGAAATTTCCAACTATGTAAGCCGTAAACGGCTTCCGTATTACGGCGTTTTGTGAATTATGTGAGAAATTTGTTTTTGGGGCTAAATAGTTAGCCGCCACCCGGCCACATGGCCACTCGGCCACCCGGCAGTGCAACATGGCGTATGAGCAACGCTCCAAGAAGGAAATGCTTAAAATCAAATTAGGCCAGTATTCTTGTCGATCTCTTGCGATAAAATCAATTAATTTTTATCATATTTGGTTGTTACTTTTTTTTCTTTGAAGTAAAACAGACTCTGTTCCCATGGAAAATGGAGGTAATTGCTTACAAGTGTAAGAGCCAACAGACTGTGAAAATATCGCTTGATTTTAATAAGCAACTGGCAAGAAAACATTGCAAAGTCTTAACGAGAGGAAGCTTTTAAATTGGTGAAAGGGAAATTGCCGACAAACGACTGAAAAGAGATTTACAGTCCCTCCCGTAATTATAATTATATGTGGAGCAGAAAAATCAGTTAATTTTTTGGCAATAAAGAGGCTTACAAGTAATATCTTTATTTTGTAAAAAGAAAGTTCCTAATCTCCCACTATAATACCCCTAATGTCCTATTAAAGACCTGAAAATTAGAACCCACCTTGACTAAACCTACGACCGCATCGGATCGTAATTGAAGTGGAAAAACTCCCAGAGATCGTGGCAGATTGCAGGCTCTCCATGTGGCGGGCGTGTGACAATGATAATCCCCCGAGAAATATGCACACAAATTAGGTATGCATGTGGCCTAGGCCAGGTATCGGGCGGTGGGTGGGGCACCTATCCAGCCATCCAAAGGTGCCTTGGCCATTGTTGGCATATTTAAAGTTGTAAAATAGCAAACAAAACACGTTTGACCGACATTCGTGACCAAAAGTGCGGCTGCCGTTGGATTTGGCTTTAGTTTCGGTTGGGTATTGGAATAGGAATTGGGATCGGAGGCTGGGGCTGAACCAGGATTTCAATTTCAATTTCGATTTCGCTCGGCCCGGCGACAAATGTGGTCTGCACCCCTACTCCAGCCCCACTAACCGTGTGACTACTTTGGCAAATGAAAATGCTTAGAAGATAAAAAAAAAAACAGAAAAAGTATTCAAGTCGGAATGAGCAAAGCTGCAAAGCCAAAATAATTTATGATGCACTTTTTTCAGTTCGTCCGTGGTAGTGCCTCCACTTGGTGGATAACTTTGGATACAACTGTGACTCACGGGGCGCTCCGTTCGCCGCCAGGTGTCGCTCAAACAAAAGTGAAACCATTCTGTGTCCCTCCCAAAGGTACCACAACATCAACAAACTGGAAACAGGAAAATGGAAAGAAACAAACCCACAGAGACCGCAGAGACCCTAAAATATGGCGCATTTGATATTTATGATTGTCTGCGTTTTAGCGTTTTAATCACATGGCCAGGGTGCACTGACCTGCAGCAACCTACCTACGTACGGGTACTTGGGGCAGCAATGCTACTTGCAACAACCAGCTACCGAATTGCGGTGAAAATCCCTCGCAGTTTCAATTGACTGGCACTGAAAAAAAATTTAAGCCAGCGGGGTTTATAAAAAGGGTTTATATATTTTAGGTACTTCAACCTATTCTGAAGAGATTTCCCACCTTTGCTTTATTTTCCTACCCTTGATGTCCTTATAGTTATTTTAATGAAATATTTCGATCCGTGTAGCTAGTGCCCACGGCCCAGCTAACTATGTTAAACAGCGAAATCAGACTCGGGCCAAGACTTGAAGACTCAGGACCTGGTCGGGCTCATGACTCCCAGCGTCATCAAGATAAAGCGCATGACATACGGCGACAAGAAGCTACCAGAGCGTGCTCCGGCCCCTGTGCCTCTGGATTGGATTTTCCTCCTAGGAGGAGGTCGCTGCATCACGGCCAGCTCTGAAGTTTGGGCCACAAGCCAACCAACTATCCAGCTATCCAACCAGCCGAGAGTCTCGGCCACAAGCTCTGTGACCAAATTTGGTCAAACGTGCAACATTTCAGCCGCACGCTGTCAAACTTTTGGCGTAGAAAGCGAAACTTTGCTCGACTCCTCCATGGGCTGAGGTAATCCAGGCTACTGGTGACGAGAATTACGAGAATGTGGCAACCGAAAAGGAAAGTGACTACTAACACTGACGTATTTCGGTGGCGGCTTTGAACCCGATTTTCCGCAGAAAACTTCAATCGCTCGGAGGTCTCATAAATCATTTGGCCGAATCAAGGTCCAAATAATGGGAGAGACAATTTGTTTTATAATCGTTGAATGCGCTTGTTTTTCCTCAGCGCCACAGATGACATCACTCCACCGGCACTGGCAGAGTAGATGGTTATATCTGGCGATCATTACGATCTTGTCGGAGGCTGCTGCCTGGCCGGCGATTCCCCCCCACTTGGCGACGTGGCAACATCAGCATTAACGCGGCCCACGCGGCGAATGTGTAATCAATCAACTGGCCATCGTGGTGGCCAAGGAGTGGTCCCTCCCGCTGGTTTCACCCCCCCTCTTCGGTTAACCCCAGTTCCCCCTTTGCTAATGGACGCACAGTGTCAGGGGCATTTGCAGGTTGCAGGTTGCACGCTGCCACTGGCCCCGGCCCCCTGCCCCCTCACGTTGCAAGTTGCCAGTTATGGGGCCCATTTGATAGACACCACATT